GTTTATTCCTGGATATTTTTTTCTTTTTTTTTTTTCTTTTCTTTTTGCGGTACGTGGGCCTCTCACTGTTGTGGCCTCTCCCACTGCGGAGCACAGACTTCGGACACGCAGGCTCAGCGGCCATGGCTCACGGGCCCAGCCGCTCCGCAGCATGTGGGATCCTCCGGACGGGGGCACGAACCCGTGTCCCCTGCATTGGCAGGCGGACTCTCAACCACTGCGCCACCAGGGAAGCCCGATATTTTATTCTTTTTGTTGCAATGGTAAACGGAAGTGTTTTCTTAATTTCACTTTCAGATATTTCATCATTAGTGTGTAGGAATGCCAGAGATTTCTGTGTATTAATTTTGTATCCTGCTACTTTACCAAATTCATTGATTAGCTCCAGTAGTTTTCTGGTAGCATCTTTAGAATTCTCTATGTATAGTATCATGTCATCTGCAAACAGTGACAGCTTTACTTCTTCTTTTCTGATTTGGATTCCTTTTATTTCTTTTTCTACTCTGATTGCTGTGGCTAAAACTTCCAAAGCTATGTTGAATAATAGTGGTGAGAGTGGGCGGCCTTGTCTTATTCCTGATCTTAGTGGAAATGCTTTCAGTTTTTCACCATTGAGGACAATATTGCCTGTAGGTTTGTCATATATGACCTTTGTTTTGTTGCGGAAAGTTCCCTCTATGCCTACTTTCTGGAGGGTTTTTATCATAAATGGGTGTTGAATTTTGTCAAAAGCTTTCTCTGTATCTATTGAGATAATCATGTGGTTTTTCTCCTCCAATTTGTTAATATGGCGTATCACATTGATTGATTTGCGTATATTAAAGAATCCTTGCATTCCTGGGATAAACTCCACTTGATCATGGTGTATAGTCCTTTTAATGTGCTGTTGGATTTTGTTTGCCAGTATTTTGTTGAGGATTCTTGCATCTATGTTCATCAGTGATATTGGCCTGTAGTTTTCTTTCTTTGTGACACCTTTTTTCTGGTTTTTGTATCAGGGTGATGGTGGCCTCGTAGGATGAGTTTGGGAGTGTTCCTCCCTCTACTATATTTTGGAAGAGTTTGAGAAGGATAGGTGTTAGCTCTTCTCTAAATGTGTGATAGAATTCACCTGTGAAGCCATCTGGTCCTGTGCTTTTGTTTGTTGGAAGATTTTTAATCACAGTTGCAATTTCAGTGCTTGTGATTGGTTTGTTTATATTTTCTATTTCTTCCTGGTTCAGTCTCAGAAGGTTCTGCATTTCTAAGAATTTGTCCATTTATTCCAGATTGTCCACTTTTTGGCATAGAGTTCCTTGTAGTAATCTCTCATGATCCTTTGTACTTCTGCAGCATCAGTTGTTATTTCACCTTTTTCATTTCTAATTCTGTTGATTTGAGTCTTCTCCCTTTTTTTCCTGATGAGTCTGGCTAATGGTTTATCAATTTTGTTTATCTTCTCAAAGAACCAGCTTTTAGTTTTATTGATCTTTGCTATCGTTTCCTTCATTTCTTTTTCATTTATTTCTGATCTGGTCTTTATGCTTTCTTTCCTTCTGCTAATTTTTGGGTGTTTTTGATCTTCTTTCTCTAATTGCTTTAGGTGTAAGGTTAGGATATTTGAGATGTTTCTTGTTTCTTAAGGTAGGATTGTATTGCTATAAACTTCCCTCTTAGAACTGCTTTTGCTGTATCCCGTACGTTTTGGGTTGTCATGTTTTCCATGTCAGTTGTTTCTAGGTATTTTTTTATTTCCTCTTTGATTTGTTCAGTGATCCCTTGGTTATTAAGGAGTGTATTGTTTAACCTCCATGTGTGCGTATTTTTTACGTAATTTTTCCTATAATTGATATCTAGTCTCATAGCGTTGTGGTCGGAAAAGATACTTGATACAATTTCAATTTTTTCAAATTTACCAAGGCTTGATTTGTGACCCAGGATATGATCTATCCTGGAGAATGTTTCATGAGCACTTGAGAAGAAAGTGTGTTCTGTTGTTTTTGGATAGAATGTCCTATAAATATCAATTAAGTCCAACTTGTTTAATGTATCATTTAAAGCCTGTGTTTCATTATTTATTTTCATTTTGGATGATCTGTCCATTGGTGCAAGTGGGGTGTTAAAGTCCCCTGCTCTTATTGTGTTACTGTCGATTTCCCCTTTTATGGCTGTTAGTATTTGCCTTATGTATTGAGGTGCTCCTCAAATATGTTGGGTGCATACATATTTACAATTGTTATATCTTCTTCTTGGATTGATCCCTTGATCATTATGTAGTGTCCTTCTTTGTCTCTTGTAATAGCCTTTGTTTTAAAGTCTATTTTGTCTGATATGAGAATTGCTACTCCAGCTTTCTTTTGATTTCCATTTACATGGAATATCTTTTTCTATCCCCTCACTTTCAGTCTGTATGTGTCCATAGGTCTGAAGTGTGTCTCTAGTAGACAGCATATATACGGGTCTTGTTTTTGTATCCATTCAACCAGTCTGTGTCTTTTGGTTGTAGCATTTAATCCATTTACATTTAAGGTAATTATCAATATGTATGTTCCTATTACAATTTTCTTAATTGTTTTGGGTTTCTTATTGTAGGTCTTTTCCTTCTCTTGTGTTTCCTGCCTGGAGAAGTTCCTTTAGCATTTGTTGTAAAGCTGGTTTGGTGGTGCTGAATTCTCTTAGCTTTTGCTTGTATGTAAAGTTTTTAATTTCTCCATCAAATCTGAATGAGATTCTTGCTGGGTAGAGTAATCTTTGTTGTAGATTTTTCCCCTTCATCACTTTAAATATGTCCTGCCACTCCCTTCTGGCTTGGAGAGTTTCTGCTGAAAGATCAGCTGATAACCTTCTGGATATTCCCTTGTACGTTTTTTGTGTTTTTTCCCTTGCTGCTTTTAATGTTTTTTCTTTGTATTTAATTTTTGATAGTTTGATTAGTATGTGTCTTGGCATGTTTCTCCTTGGTTTCATCCTGTGTGGGACTCGCTGTGCTTCCTGGACTTGATTAACTATTTCCTTTCCAATATTCGGGAAGTTTTCAACTATAATCTCTTCAAATATTTTCTCAGTCCCTTTCTTTTTCTCTTCTTCTGGAACCCCTATAATTCGAATGTTTGTGCATTTAATGTTGTCCCAGAGGTCTCTGAGACTGTCCTCAATTCTTTTCATTTTTTCTTCTTTATTCTGCTCTGCCGTAATTATTTCCACTATTTTATCTTCCAGGTCACTTATCCGTTCTTCTGCCTCCGTTATTCTGCTATTCATCTCTTCTAGAATTTTTAATTTCATTTATTGTGTTGTTCACACAATTACTTTTAATATTCCTTCATTTTATTTAAATTGTTTTTCCAAGTTTCCCTTTTCCCCTAAATTTCTGTTGTAGTATTATACTGTTGAAATAAAAATCTATAAAATAAGGGCTGCAGAATAAACACCTTGTAAAATGGCTGTAAGAAAGTGGCAGTGTAACAGGGTAGTCTGAGGTCAAGACTAGTCACATTTCTGGAAATGGGAGTAGATGAGCTGGCAGCCCAGGGCAGAGACCTCCAGTTCAGCTTAAGTCATTAAGCTTGAAGAGTGGTCTAGAGGAGCCTTCCCTAAGAAAATAACCCAGGTCAGGGCCTAGTTGCCCTTGTGTCTGAAGAGTCGGCTGGCCTGAAATGGAAAGGATGGGGGGAAAGTAGTAGTGGAGAAGTATTGCGGAATGTGGCAGAAGAGGAGGGTCATGTTCCAGGTCTCTGACAAGTCCCAGGGACAGGCTCACCAAGTGAGGTCCTTGGCTTTGTGCAGGAAAGAATTTAAGAGAGCCATAGTAAAGTGAAAGCAAGTTTATTTAGAGATTCACATTCCATAGGTAGAATGCAGTTCATCTCAGAAGGTAAGAGTGGCCCAAAAATGGGATGGTTAGTTTTTTGTGGGCTGGGTAATTGCATAGGCTAAGGGGCAGGAGGATTATTCCAACTATTTTGGGGAAGCGGCAGAGATTTCCAGGAATTGGGCCATCGCCCACTTTTTGGCCTTTTATGGTCAGCCTCAGAACTGTCATGGCACCTGTGGGTGTGTCATTTAGCTAGTGTATTGATACTACAATGAGTGTATAATGAGGCTCAAGGTCTACTGGAAGCTGAATCTTCTGCCATCTTGGGTCTTGTGGGTTCTAACCAGTTTATGTCATATCCTCAAGGGCTATGTCAGTCTTTTAAAAGTTGTGCCCTGCCAGCTTCCCTCCTGTCTCAGAAGGAACCAGAGAGAGAATGGAAAAGGCCAGGACTTGCAAGATAAAGAAAACAGACCTATCCGTGGTCAAAGAATCGGGAAGTAGAGTTGTCTGCCTGGTCGAATGCTCAGAAACTATGCAGTGTTGTGAAAAGTGTGCTCCGATTTCAGAATTACCTGAGTTGCTTTCTGAAAATGCAGATTGCTGAGCTTAATTAAGAAGTACTGAATCCCAGTCTGTGAGGGTAGGCATTCTGTGCATCCTCTCAAAGTGATTCTCATGCACTTTAAAGTTTGAGAACCATCAAACACCAGCATGCTTAAGAATCACCAGGAAGCTTGCAAAGAAACAACGTATTCCTGGATTCCATGACTGGAGATTCTGATGCAGTGCAGCTGGGGTGCTGTCAAGGTATCTGCATTTTTAGCAAGCACCTTTGGGCTTTAAAACAGGTGGTTCACAAATTGCACTTAAGGAAATAATGTTATAGGTTCTTTGAATAAATTTAAAAATTGTCAGGAAAACAAAGAATCAGATAACCTATGATTAGGTATTAAGTACAGTATAAGAATGGCATCCTAATTCCTTATTTATTTGTTTATTTATTTACATGATACTCTAGTGCTGGTGAATCTGTTCAATATTTAAATATAATATGAGAATTTTGTGGGAGAATCTTGTCCTTTCTTATCTCCACAACATTATTACTGGTTATCATGTAGGCTGTAAACACACAAAGAAGTGACTTGTGAACTTCTTGAGTGCAAAGTGATTTCATCCAATTAAGCCTCCTAAAATTCTTTAACAGGTGTCTGCAGTTATGCCTGAGTCAAACACCCTCCTTCCAGCTGGCTATGCCTTTGAGATGGAAATCAGAACAAAGTGAGAAGGCATTGACTACTAGAGATGTCAATAAAGGAAATACAAAGAAGAAAGAAAAGAAAAAAGGAAGTTGAGTTCTCTTATAGGCCCCAGCATAGAACTTATACCAGTAAGTATATCAGTTCTTAGATTACAAGTGGTCATTAATTGTCATTTGTCTGAACGCAGGCTGGACGTTGGTGGAGTTCCAGGGCAATGAGCATCCAAAACTCTCATGGGAAAAATTTTGCATTTAAGGAAATGTAACTCAGTGATAATTCAGACCGTGGACAGAAATATCACACATACGATAGGAAGGGCCTCTTCTTCATATCCTGCCCTCTTCCCCCACTCCACTCCCCACCACACACACACATACTTTTCTCTAGCAGATAGAAAGATAGGACAGGCGATATATATAAAGTGGAACCAGCTTTTTAGGCTTAGGAAAAAAGCATTTGGGGCTATGTAAGATTCTTGGCTACTTTCACTAATTTTGTTTGTGAAATTGTATTTTTTAATTACTTGTTTTTATTTTCATTGATTTTGAGAGTTCTTTTTTTAATTTGGCTGCTGTATCCTTTTTTGCCCTTTCTAAATTTTTACTAACTTAAAACACAGTCACCAGGGCTTCCCTGGTGTCCAGTGGTTAAGAATCTGCCTGCCAGAGCAGGGGACACTGGTTCAAGCCCTGGTCCGGGAGGGTCCCACATGCCGCAGAGCAACTAAGCCTGTGTGCCACAACTACTGAGCTACTGAGCCTGTGCTCTAGAGCCCAGAAGCCACAACTACTGAGCCCCCATGCCACAACTACTGAAACTCGCATGCCTAGAGCCCATGCTCTGCAACAAGAGAGGCCACAGCAATGAGAAGCCCGCGCACCACAACGAAGAGTAGCCTCCGCTCACTGCAACCAGAGAAAAGCCCGTGCACAGCAAGGAAGACCCAACACAGCCAAAAATAAGTAAAATAAAATAAAATAAAATAAATTTAAAAAACATAGTCACCTGTCTTAACTGAGAGAGGAGGAAGAGTGGAAGGATATTTGTTCAGTATTTAGCACGTTCTAAAGAGAGTAAGATATTCCTGGGGCGTTGTGCTAGCAGTAGGATCAAAAGAAAAGAACCCAGAAGGAAAAGCGAGACTCTAGGGAAAAAAAAAATGTGAATATTATTACAATAAATTCTCCCCCTGCTTCCAGCAAGGGTTTCTAAAATTCTGTTTTAATTAGGATGAGTGATTATTCCTTTTCAACCGTGAATTATTGGGGTTTTTTGTTTTTGTGTTTGTTTGCTTGTGAAAACCACTGAATTGCAGAAGCAGCAGGGACTCAAATCAGCGCTGTATTGAGGCCTTGCTTGTGTTACTCTGAACACAGTTAAGCTGCAGCTCCAGGGAGATGAAAAAGGTATTTAGCCTCAGGCCCAGTTGCTTCCTCCTGTTGTCAACAACTTTATATTTCCCTTTTTATTTATTCTTTTTATTTTCTCACCCTCTTGTCACAAGTCACACTTATTAACAGCTTGTTAACAGTCTTTTCGGTTGACACAGAGGTGAAAAATAGTACCTCAACCTTCAACCTTTCATATGGTGTATATTATTCTCCCCTCCCCTCAGAGAAGCATCAGTCCATGACATGGATGTTTGTGTCCCTGGTTAGAGAGTCTTGTGTATGGCCTTTCCCTGCTGTGACAGCCAGTCAATGCTGAGCACAGGGACTGCCCCAGCCCTTGTAGCTGATATTGCACACTGCCTGGGGCTCCTGGAGACTCAACACTCCCATTACCTGTAACTGCTGAACCCACAGGGACTCAGAAACTGGCTGTTTCCCAAGACAAAGACTAGTGGTAAAGCAGGGATGGCAAAGCCAGATGCTTTTTCCTGCCAGTGCCTGTCATCAGAGAGCCTCCACCCCACACACCGTGGAGTTTATCTGGTAGTATAAGTCACGGGCTTGTGAATTCTTTGGGGGCATTGCATAGTGCTTTAGCGTACCTTTAGAAAGATGGGGACACAAGGGTCATTACTACAGTCGTAGCATATGTACTTCCCTGACTCCGCAGGAGGGAGAAGTGAAATGAGATTTCTTTTCCTCTACAGTCTTTGTTTCTTAGCACATGTGGGAGTATAAAAAGCTCTATCATTCATGTGAATTTTACATTATAGAGTTGAAGCAGGTATTTTCTAACTTGCCATCTTTTTGTTCTAGAGTTTTACAAATCTCACATTTTCATGGTAGCACAGTATGATCTTTAAAGGTGTGGGCTCTAGGTTCTGTTCTTGACTCGGACACTTACTGGCTTTGTGACCTTGGGCAGGTTGTGTAACTATTAAGGTGCCTCACTTCTTTCCATTGAAAAGTGGGGTTTAATACTAATGCCTCATCTGTGGAGTTGTTTTGAGGATGAATGGAGTAGCGTGGTTGGCCTGCTCAGAGACGGCTCTGGAACGTCATAAACAAGCATATTAGCCCTTGGTACGAACTTCAGAGGGGCCTGCTTGTTTTCACAGGAGACCATGCATGCCTCAGTGAACCAGTGCTCTTAGGGTAGAGCTTCCCTGGTTAGATAATGAATTAACTCCCTGACTGGAATCAGAGAGGGATTCTCAGAGGATGGATCCTTGTAGCTCTTGGGTGCTGATTTGTCATCAGAATGCAACTGAAAACAGAATGAAGTTTGGCATGAAAAAAAAAAAAAAAGAAAACAGAATGAAAAATCATCTACATTCTAGGCCAGTACATGTCCATCTCCAATACCGTCATGTGATGGAGCAGAATGTAATATCCCAAGAAGCTGACACAATCTTTTGTTGGAACAATGTTAATTTTAGATTCTAGCCAAGTATACTCAATAGTTGTAAATCACTGAGTTTCTAAGAGTAAAGCTAGATGCCTATTGGTACTCAGCCTTCATTCAAAGGCATAACCCAGTTGTTCTTTACACTGGAATATATGACACATATAACATGATATGGTATACTCAAGGTAAGTACCTAAAGTAGGGGTGGAAAATATCCTGCAGTCAGCCTTTAAGTATTGCTTTATATGTACTTTTAAGCAATTGTCTTGATACAGATAATATTACAACAAAATAAAATTATTCATTATAGTCTTACCATATTTACAATCTTATTATAAGGTTGTAAGATTATGACACTCTCATATCAAGTAGCTTTTGTTTTTCATATTCTTTTTCAATCAATCTTTACACATAAACATATGCTTTGTACATTAGAAGGTAATATATACTTCTCTGTTTTGTTCTAATTCACTTAGCCTTATTTACTCAAGCATTTTTTGAAATAACATAATCCTCATAATTATTCATTTTAATGTATAGCTAGCTTTCTAGTGCATAGATGTATTGTGTTTTACTGTTTTCTTCTCATTGGATGCTAAGGTTACTTTCATATTACTGTTAAGATGACACTACAGCCCATTACTTTGTGCATAGCCTCTTTCCCCTTCTCTTGGATTCTTTCTCTAAGCATCAATTTAAAAAGTAATATTATATTCATAATTATGAACTGGATTGTCTTATTCTTACAAAGCATTAGCTCCTTGGTGTGCAAGTTTCTTTAAGAATAGACCCCAGACATAGAGTTTGGAGGAGGATATGAAACATGATGACCAAGAGTGGATGGAGTCTTCTCCAGGAGAGAATGATTTAGTCTCTCAAAGAAAAAATTAACTGAGTATTTTGCATGTTCTAGGTACTGTGCTAGGCCTGAGGATGTGATGATGAGCAAAACGACATAGTCCCTGTCCTCTTAGAGACCGAATCTAGTGAAGGAATCGCTTCTGATCAAATAATTGCACAAATAAATAACAACTCACAATATTGTACAACAGTAAAATGTGTTATGCCATGAGGCTTAGCTACGGGGAGTGATTAAGGGAAAAGGCTCAGGTTAATTTTCTAAGGAAGTATTATTTAGCTTAGTTGTGAAGCGTGAATAAAATGTAAATTAGGAAGCTGAGGTGTTTTCTAAGTAGGGAGAAGAACATTTGAACTGACCCTATGGCAGGAGGGGAAAGACTCATTGGGGTTAGAAAGTCATGCAAGGGGAGCTGGAGCACAGATATTGAGACATCTGTTTTCTGGGACAGGAGGCACATTGCTCTGGGATAGTTACTCTGGATGTGAATGGGAGAATAGAGTTGATGCTTTTATTTCTTTTCATTCTGCAGACTTCTCATTGCTACTGTAAAAACTCATTCTAATATTGGTAATAGCTTTCAGAGTTGCTTGGTGATCTCTATATGCTTCTTAGAAACAATATTCCATTTATAGTCAAAAAGTAAAGGAACTGCCATATTATTCATATAGCTCTTTTTAAAAGAGTAAATTTACGTCCATGATTTTATGTCAACAAAAGGCATTTCATTTTCCAGATGACTCTGAGACAAGCAAAGCAAATATAAATATTCTGGTTGACATTAAAGTTGGCCAAATCTCTGCAGAGATTATATGTTTTATAGGAAAGGAAGTCAACATGCTTAAACATCCATTATCTCAGAGCTCTCCAATCTAATAATTTCTTCAATGGGATATCAACTTTCTAAAGGTCAGGAAAAATTATAACTATTTATGACTTAATCTTCTCTGGGCTCTAAAGGACTCAAAATGCCTGCCCTGTCACTCTGTCATGTAGGCAATGGCTGGATCTGTAGTGCTTTGGGTCCATACAGATGGATATATATGATTAATGGGGGTGTTATGGTCACCTCATATTTTCATGGCACTTAAAATTTTCTAAAGCATTTCCATATTTTTTATTGCATTGAGTCCAGTTTTAGAACCAGAACAGACTTTAATGATTATTTAGTTTAAAGGTGTTTTTAACAGAAAAAGCAATAAGCTTGGACAACTGTGTTCAAATTAAAGCTCTGTAATGTACTAGGTAAGTGGCTTTGGGCAAGTCACATAAACTGTCTGTAACACAGTCTCCCCATTTCTACATGGAGCCTATCTAGTACCAAATGTGTGAGGTGGCTTGAGTAATAATTGAGGGCACATATGAAAAAGGTTCCCAGGAGGTGTTTAATCTATATCAATTAGAAATACAACACTTGTTCACACACAAACTAAGACAGGAAAATATGCAGGTAAATGGTCCCCACCCATACTGGCTTGAGTTTACAGGTGATGGGATGGAAGGGAATGGGGGAAAGCAGCTTGTTCAAGACAACTTCCCAATAAAATCCAGGTATCCTAACTCTTGGTCTTTCATATTTATCTCCATTCCTATCCTTCTCCTTTGGAATTTCTTTGCCTGCCTATGTTCTCTTCTTTAGGGATTTATTCCTTTTCATATTAAACAGAAAATAAATAACAACATCCATGAGTTTTACTAACATGACCGTCTGACCTCAAACTACCACTCTTATGTCTTACAAAAGACATCTCTAACCATAAACTATCAACTTACAATAATAGAGCATGCAGTACTGCAGAGGGAAAAAAACTAAATTGGATATCAGAGCATCTAAGTTTTAGTCTCTTAATTTCAGTGATTAACTGTATGATTTTAAATAAGACACTTGACCTTTCTATGCCTTATTGAAAAAGATGACAATGGACTGGGATAGAGCTAAGAACTTTTCAATACCCTTAATATTTTGAGAATCTATATATGATGTAATAGAGTGTTCATTACTCACCGGAAGCAATTAACAACAGTGAAATGCACTTATATAGTTGTGATTTACTAAGCCATTGTATACATTGTTCTGGAGATTTTCTTTTTTTATTAAAATATTTCAACAGTAGATAGGTTGGGACTTCCCATGGGAATTGATTATTCATTTGTATACATACATTTGTGAATTGCAGCAGGAATAAAATACTACCCTTTCTACTCCTTTACTGAACTACGTTTAACCTATAAGAACCAAATCAAATAATATCTTTTCTGTGATACTTTCCCACTCACCCAAGTGGAAACAAGCACACCCAAAGTATTTAGTTATACCATCCACCAGGAATCAGTGTGGTTATTTATGTGTCTGTCTCCTATACAAGACTGATGTATCCTCAGGATCTAATTTATAGCCTGGCACAAAATAGATCCTCAATAATTATTTGCTGAATTTAAGAAGAGTAGAATAATTTAGTAAGCCTACATGTGTCTGTCACTGAATGTGCTAAAACAGAATATTTTCAGATTATTCTAAGATTGGCTTCATTGCATATTTGACTCTATGTGATGTTTATGGTGGAAACAATAATGAAGAGGCTTGTGACAACCTGAATAGCCACCAGCCTTGATGACTTATGGGAAATTGCCCCTGTGACCTTTGACTGACCTTAAAAAATGACTGTGCAACCCCACGCATTGCATTTCCCTTCAGTATTAGCTGTCGCTCATGTAGCTCACATTGTTTATTTGTTTTCTGGTGGAAACTATTAAAATGTAGAACTGCAGAGAGTAGGATTTTGTTGAAAAAGATGAGCCCACAGAGCCCAAGGCATATGGAGGGACAGTGTGGTTCTTCCTTGGAGTGGAACAATCACACAGAGAATGTTCTCTTGGTTTATAAGTCCTCCATAGCTGCTTCTCAGGAACTCTCCCCCTATGCTGACCAGAGAACAGATTTGTAGAACTTTTGCTAGAGTTAATTCACAGCAGATTGGTAACCAATAGCAGTTTTGGAGCCAAGTGGATTATTATAGGTTACTCATAAAGCTTATTCAAGAGAGGCAGCATGACATAATTCAGTGACAATAGACTGCATTTTTTCCAGTTCTGTCGTTTACCAGCTGGGTGAACTTGCAGAAGCCACGTCACCATTCTGAGACTCAGCTCGTCATTTATTAAACGCAAGTAACGATCCCTTCCTTTCTCTTTTATGGCATTGCTGGTGAGGTTCAATTTAGAAAGTGGATAAGTGTTTTGAAAATGTAAGATGTTATTATTTACCTCCTCCACTTATATCTTAACTTCATGGATGAAGAAAATCATGACAGACGGTACTATATTTTGAGCTTATGGTTGAGGCGAATTTTAGTTGGGATAATTTGGGCAAAACACTGGTTTGTGATCTTGTGCTTAGTTTAACCTAGATAATTATTTAACTTTCACTGCAAATTTAGAAAATGATGTGCCATACATACAGAAAATTTTAAAGCAAGAGGTATCCTTTCTTAATCGCAAAGAAAGCCTATGTTTAACTTGACAAAACCATAGACGTTTGAACACTGAATCATCTGAATATTATAACAATCAAAGTACGACTTCTTTAAACACAAGTAAATAGACTTTGATTTTAAAACACATTAGTGGTTTTAATTAATTCAGTCTTGAAGATGGAATGTTATTTGTCAACTACGTGTTAAGGGTGTATAGCTATATGTGTTTGGGAGCCTGCTTATAACTAAGAATCCCAAGGTGAGATGAGAACCTTTCAGTAGAAAATTGCGCTTTCACAGCTGTTCTGGGCCAAATATTGAATCAGAGTATGATTTCAGTCAATGGTTTTTATAAAGAGAAAGTAGCACTTAGTTTCATGGGTAATATCCCAGAACAAATGGAATTTGTTTGCATTATTCTGCTTTTTCAGTGGAGGGGATAAATGTCACCCAGTGATTGGATTAGGTATTCACGGACTTTTATAGCAATTACATTAGATTCTTATTTCAGATAGTCTCTCATAGGGTAGAAATTTTCCAAAAATAATGATAAAATAAAGCACATCATATTATATCTTTTCATGTTACAAAAGTTAAACACTGCAGTCTACAAAGAAGAGACAAAAACAAGACACGTTTGTTTGGGGCCTGTCAAGATTTCAAACCCCAAAGGGTCTGTGTTTGACAATACAGCCTCTCCTTCCCAAGGGAAAGGCTTGTTTTCTCTGTGGCTTTTAGCATTTGCCACACACGTGAAACTGGAAGGACTCCTGAGGGAGGAGAAAAATCTCATTTTAGAGCTTTGGTACAAAGCCCCTTCGTGGAACAGGGCAGAGTGTTTTTGCATTCTAAATTCTGGCTTTTCTTGAATTCCCTGTAAAGGCAGACTAGCTCTTTTGTTTAGATTTTAAACATATAGCCCGCCTGGTAAAATTACAAGCTCTGAGAGTCTGGCTGCCTCATTTAATTTGTGGTGTCAGGGGAAACAATCCCCAGTGAAAATATTAAACACCAGACTATTATTTACCAGTGATGCTGGCTCTGAGCCTAATCTTCAGGTGTCTCCAAAAACTATGTTTTTCAAGAAAGATCTTCCTTGTTTAGATCTGATGAAAAATCTCCATGCCTGACCAGATGCTTTGTGTTTGTCAACATTCCTGACTGCGTCTGTAAAGTACAAAATGACATCACAGACCAGGCTTCCTTATCTGAATCCAAGGACCTGGTGCCCTTGGCTGGGACCCACAGGCATTGGGGTCACACCTATGGCAACACAAAGTATTTTAAAATGACACCTGTCTGAGAGCTTATAAGGCATATTTGTAAGAAATAAATGCATTTGACCAGGAACAATACTATTGTTGATTCAAACAAGATGGTTTAGTTGTCTTTTTTCTTTTTTTTTTTTTGACGGGGAGTTATGAATCTTACAGACATTAAAGCAGAGGTATTTTTGAAGGAGGTGGCCATATAATTAATTTTGGACAAAATGACCATCTTGAAGGGAGGGTCTTTGATTGTGAGGAAAAAAAAAAACAACCCACCAAAAGCAAAAACATAAGATTTGGAATAGCAAGCCCTGGATTTGAGTAATGGCTACATGACTGTATGATCCCAGAGAAACCACATTACTCCTGAGACCTCAGTTTTCTCAGTGATAAAGTGGGAATCATTTTTTTGTGTTTTATTCTATGGATCGAAATAAAATGACATGATGTATTTCAAAGTGTTTTATGAATATTAAAGTGGTAAGATATTACTATTATTATTATTACTACTAAAACTGTTGGGAGAAGAAGGAAAGAATGGAGAGAAAAAAATATAAACATTTGTTGTATCCGGTGTTCCATAATAGATATTATGCTATCCATTAAGAATATGAGGACAGTCCTTGACCTGAACGAGCATGCCTGGTAGGGGAAATTGCCTTGTAAAAATATAATTGCAAGGCAGTGTGGTAGATAGAATAATAGAGATAGATACTAGATCCCAGAACGGAACCAAAAATGAATTGAGTAGTTAGGTTTGAGTGAGTCTAGAAGGACTTTCAAAGGAAAGAGACACTTAATCCTTTGACGCTTGAAGGATTAGTAGGAGTTTCCTCCTACCTCCTGTGGGGATGAGGGTATTCCAGAGAGATGGGCGTTGGAGGAATGAAAGAGCAGGTCAGGTTCAGGATCTGCTATGCCTGGAGCTCTGCTTCTATGTGGGGTAAACAGAGTGAGCTGAGGCCAGACAGGGAAGCAGGTGGCAGGTTATGGAGGGTCACTTTCCCTCAGGAAGCCCTTTCCTCTAGAGAAGGGCTTTAAGCAGGTAAGTGGCATCCATTTATTTAAGCTACTATTTCTATTGCATTTTCTGTGTGCTAGGCATTGTTCTAAGAGCTTTATACATGTTTATTTCACCTTCATCACAATCAACTGAAGTAGATATTATTTTTATTCCCATTTATCTTCTGAGGAGAGTGAGGCAAAGACAGGATAAATTACATTCCCAAGATGACATGGCTAGTAAGTGATGGAAGCAGGATTCAACCCAGCTTCTGACTTCCACAGAGTTAACCACTCCAGTACGCTGCCACTCAGGATTAGTTCCCTGTTTTAGAAAGATCACCCTTGGTCCTGGGCAGGGGATGGTTTGGGGAGGAGGTGAGGCTATAGGCAGGGAGACCAGTGGGGATAGAGATGTAAAAGTCAAGACAAGAAATGATGCATCAGTGAGGTAAGACAGAGGGAATGGATGGGTTCAAAGGATGTGTTTCGTGGTAGAACTGATAGTAATTGGTGTGGCTGATTGTGGAGTGTAAGGGAGAGAGAGTTAAGAATCTCAAGTTTCGGGGTAAGTGATGATTCCATTAACAAGATAGGAAAAACCTAGACTAAGAATGGGAGGAGAAATATAACTGACCGTGTGAATTTTGAAGCAGCTGTGGAATGTACAGGTGGCCAGGTACGGACCACTGATGGTTATAGGGGCTGGAATTCAAAGGCAAGGTCTAAGTCTGAAATTTAGATTTAGGAGTCATCACAGAAGCTGTGAATATATATGTGAATGCCCAGGGAAAGTTTAAATGGATCGCTACTGATCTGATCCAGCTTAGAGATGGAGGTGTTTGAGTTTGCCTCTTTTGGCATGAAGTGAGAAGAGCAAAGGGTTTGGAACAGAACGCTAGGGAGAGCCAGCTCTCGTGGTATCTTCAAGAATGATAGAATGAGCAAAATCCTATCAGCGTATTCTGCCTGCAGTTAGTTGAAATTAGGCATATGTAACTGCTCAGAGTTTAACAACTGCAGAAATAATAGTTTATAAAAAGGAAGGGATAAATCATGTCTGCTTGCTGAACATTTTAGCGCAGCGATAGAATGTCTGACTATTCACAAGGGAAGTTGTCTTTAGACTCCCCTGGGAAGACGCCGGATTATATCTGCTTTTAGCTCTGTTACGAGAGAGTGTCACTGTAGGCGCTTGCAATTGGGATTTATAATATAGTGTGGTTTACAGTGAATAGGTTTCTCGGGGCAGGCTGAGGTACATTACCGGAGGCACTGCTGCTTTCACAGAGTACTGGGAGGTCGGACTTAACTCTTTTATCCTTGTATGAGTAATCTTAACGTAAAAAAGATTTTTTATGTCGGTGGATTTCAGGAATAGGTCATGCCCTTTATGTTCTGTTTGGGAGGAGTCCACACTGAAACTCAGCCTGGACAAAAAGCATGAGGATTACTTCATGGCAGGAGTCGTTAATGGCAAGGATCACACTCCATGTTTACCAGGAGGTTTTATTGAGAGTTTACAACATCGTGCCACATTATTTTGAAATGCCACTGAATAAAAGGATGTTGCCAGAAACTTTCTGGATGAGTGTACCCACCCTAAGTAATATTACAACATCTAATACTGACATTTAGAATGACAGAGGAAGAAACCATTTCTGATTAGAAAAATTTAAATATTTAGATATATACTTAACTGTGTAATGGAGCAGCTTAAACCCAAATGATTCTTTCAGGTGCATGTAGTGGGGACAGACTACATTAAATGGGAGCTTTGCTCTCCTTGTACTGACTACTTAAGAATTATAAGAATTTTAAGAGTAAAAGTTCTATGCATTTGAATATGTCAAGTACAGTACATTTGATTGTAAACAGTTTAAAGACAGACTGTCTCTGTTATAATAAGTTAGGTTATCTGACATCATACCCATTGGAAAGTTTTAGAAACCAACATTTTCCAACTGTAGCTCTTCATTCTAAAAACTGGTTTCAACACTACAGCGAAAGGAAACAGGGTAGAATTTCTATGAGAAATGTATCAAAAAAAAAAAATGAGAGGCTAATGGTGACATAGAAGGGGAGGAGTGTAATGTTATTTGTTTTAGTTATCTATTACTATATAACAAGCCACCCAAGATATAGAGGCTTAAAACATTAATAGTTTTATCAATGTTTCTTACCATTCTGTGGGTTGGCTGGTGATCCTTCTGCTCCAGCTAGGGTTACTCCATTGGCTGCATTCAGCTGGCAAATGGGCTGGGCTAGAATATCCAAGAATACCTCTCTCACATGTCTGGGGCCTTGAAGGTGACTGTCAGCTGGGCTACTTCTGTTCTCCAAGGTTTTATATGGCCTCTTTTTCCACTTCGTGCCTTATCGTCCAAGGTTTCTCCACATGAACACTCTTCCCAGCAGGAGAGTA